ATAGTTCCATAGAAATGAAATCACACAGCATTCCATATCCTTAGCCTGGAGTAGAGAACAAGCAGAGTACAAGGCGCTCTTGGCTGAGCCAAGCTGTTACTCTATCAGTAGGCTATTCCTTTCACAAGTGAGTAGTATTCCGTGCTGTGCTTACCTTGCGGTCTAACTACTGACCTACTGGAGGCCATGGATGTGGTTTCTAGTTTGGCCCACTACAAATAAAGCTGCTGTCTGTGGACATTCTTGTACAAGCCCTAGCACGAACAGGAGTAGTTTTGCTTTCTCCAGAATAAATGTCCAAGGGGTCACTGGGGAAGTCTGACTTGAGTTTTTTTTAAAATGGTGCAGCTATTTTCAAGTCATTTTTTACATTCCCACCAGCAATGGTGGGAACAGGTTCTCAGCCTCCATGCCGGCGTTGAGAGTTGTTACTGGTTTTGCTTGCCCAGTTTGATGGGGTTAGACCCACCTCACTGTGGTCCTAGTCTGCATTTCTCTGATGGATGATCACATCAGACGTCTTTCCATGTGCTTATTTGCCAGTTGAATAAACTCTCTGGTGAAATATCTCTTCATGGTCTCTCTGTCCATTTTTTAACTGATTGCTTGAGGTTTATTTTTTCTATTGAATGTCGAGGATTCTTAATATTTTAGATACAAGTCTTTGTCGGCCATACAATTTGAATACATTTTCTTCTAGTACCTAGCTTTCCTCCCCATCCTCTTAAGAGTCTTTCACAGAATGAGCACTTTCAATAATGATGAGATCCAATTTATCATTTTTTTCTTCTTGAAAGCTTTTAGGCCAACAGGGATTTATTGAATATCTACAGTTCAGCAGGATAATTTTCCAGGCACCCTGTAGCGATCAAAGATATGACATGGCCCTAACATGGAAGAGGAAAACATAACATTGTTGGCTGAGAAGTAGGTGGTGGATGAAGTTTTCATTTCACCACTTCCATGCTTGAAAATGCCACAAAATGAAACAGAAACTACCTTCATAAACTCATCTTTTCCGGGCTAAAATTGTATTTTTTACATAACTGATATGTATTAAATCTTGTTTGTAAGACAATTTCACACGTATTGCATCAATTAATAAAAGTCTTACAGGCAGTGGTGAGGATTAGACCATCATTTATATTACAGAATCTAGGATGCAGCTAAGCTAAGTTGCTGGCCGAAGGTCACCCAGCCAGGAGGTGATTAGCTCAGACCAGCACCACAGTCTTGTGATCAATGCTCTTTTGATTCTACCCAAAGTCCTCCTGAGGCATGTCCTGTCACAGCCAGTGTAAACTCATCCATCTTCTGGCTAAGAAATAGACTGTCTGACTTCCGTCTTAAAAGAGAACGTGATTCGGTTCCCTATGTGCACGAAAGTCAAATGGCTCTTTGATAAAGGAAGAATCCATGCAAGCTCTCACAGTGGTCAGGACCATGCAGAAAATGGCAAGACCAGCCCTGGTCAGGCTCCATGAGCGAAGAGGGTTGGATATTCCTGGACTTCAGCAATGGGTCACCGGATGACTGGTCAGGATGGGCAATGGCCTTCCAGGTCCTCTCTTCCTATGCCCATGGGTGCCCAGATCACCTTCAAATGCCAAGCCTTTCACGGAGAAATCAAGAGATATTGAAACCAGTTGAAGCAGTGCCTGTTTCTGACCTAAAGGACTCCACAAAGGCAGGGAACTGGGGCTCTTACAGCCTCTGGGTCTTCATCAGATCTTTTTTTCTGTCTTACTTGTGAACTTGCTCATTTAAGCACTCTGTTTTCCTGTCTTGATTTTAAAATGTTTATAATTAGGTCAGGTGTTAGGACCTTGATTTGGGATATAATGAGGCAGGTGTATGTGTCAAGCAGGCTTTGCAAATGCCTGTGTGATGCTAACAGCCTTTGAACACAGCCTCGCCCTTCCCACGAGGTAGCCTTGCTGGACACATGTAAAACAAACTTGACCCTCAACACTCCAGACTCTCTAGCATGCACCAGCCTGGGAGCCACTGTGGATGCTGAGACCATCACGAGGAGTGGACAGGCGTGTCCATGGGGCTCACTGCTGGTGAGAGGACACATGTGCAGGAGCATTCTGAGTGCGGTGCGTGTGTTGCTGATGTCTCCAACCACTGTGTGCATCTCGTCATCTGTTCATGCTCAGTCCGAATACTGGGAAGGAGAGACTTCGGTCCTGGATCCTGACCGCTGTGTAAGGAGGACAAGTCCTCCTATAGGCATCAGACGCCACTGCAGGAAGGCAGCTGAATGCTGCAGCCATCAGAGGAAAGGGCACCGAGGCTGCAGCTCTCCTCCCACTGGACCAAGTATGCCTGATGCTAGCCACACATCTCAACTGTATCTGGGTGAGCCGGTTTCTTTGTATGCCTAAGTTGCAGGTAGTCTGTCTGTTTCCCGTTACTACAACAAAACACCTGAGGCTGTGAGTGTCGGGAAGGAAGTGGATTACTCAGGTCACAGTTCTGAAGCTCAGGCCATCACACTGACGCTGGCTGGGGTCTGGTGAGGACGCCCCTGGCTGTGCCACGCTGTGGTGGATGTCGTCATGGTGGGGGCACAGGAAAGGGACAGACCACAGAGAGACTGGAGACTGGGTCTCCCTCACCCTGCTCTTTTATAACAGTGCTCCCTCGGGGATGAACTGAGGACCCTCCAGAAAGTAACTCCTTGCCAGGGTAGCCCCACCAGTGGCCTCCCAGCAGGCCCTAAAGGTCCCACCACTACTTAACTTCCCACACTGGGGACCAAGCTTCAAACCCAGGAGCCCTTGGGGGCCAGGCTACTTTCAGGTCCCTGCTATGTGTACCGGAGTCCTTAGGGCCTCTCGGCTGTGATAAGGGCCCGGTCAATGGACTGTCACGCATGTGAAGGCAAGGAAGAATGAAGGGGGAAGAGAGGGGAGGAGAGGAGGAGAGAAGGGAGGGGAAAGAGGGAAGGAGGGGGGGGGCAGGGAGGAAACAAGGGAGGGGGGAAGGGGGGAGAAAACTCCCTGCAATGACAGTGAATGTTTCGATGCCTTGTTTAGGAAAAAGAACGTCTGATTTGTTATCATTCGCCGTTATTGAATCCAAGAATGCAAAACAGTGGTCAAGATGCAGGAAGGAGTCTCCTCTTCCCGGAGCTCACAGAAGGCCACTCGGGACACACGTGCAGGAGTGTCTAGGCGGATCGTACACTTGCTCTGTTGCTTTCTTTCTCCCATTGCATTTTTGTTTTAAACAAATGTCTTCGTGCAATGCTTCACTCGCAGCGCTTGGTTTATCCATTAAGAATATATTGTCCTGACAAAAATAAACAACCACAAAAATGGGCAGGGATATGACATAGAGTTAAAACAAAAAGGAAAGACGGGAGGTTGTGACATGTGTGTAACATTTTTAATAGGATAAAAGCAAGTCCAGCTACGGAGGGGAGGCCCCTTTACACCCACCAGACTGGCGCCGATCAGGAAGTGGGGTAGCACACTGTGTACAGCGGAGCAAGTGTGGCAGGCCACAAGAAGCCCTCCCGGCACTGGAAATAGGGGCCTGAAGACACCGAGCTGGTGACACGGCTGATGAGAGGCCGAGAGCCCGCTGGAGAGGGCTCCACAGCGACAGCGCCTCTCAGAACTGGGGCCACCACCTTCCTGCGCTGCCCAGTGCCTCAGAATCACCATTGCAGCTAGGGAGGAAGGGGCAGCCGGGCGTGGACAGGAAATCGCATCCCCACGCGTGGTTGTGAGCGAGGGCCCAAGCCTCAGATGCAGGTGGCTCTGACCCCAGGACTCCAGGGCTGGGATTCGAGGTGCAGGCGCTACACATGTTGCCGTCAGGCGGGAACAGCGGGACTCACTGCCGCGCTGTCAGGGACAGATGGGGGACAGCCCACAGGCCGGCCTGGGCCTGCCGCGGCCTGTGACAGGTCTCATGGGTGGGCACGGCACAGTGTGAGTGAGCGGGGCAGCCCACTCTGCACAACACCTTGTCCAGAAGAAGAGCACCTGTGGAGCGCAGGACCCGGGGAAGCCAGAAAGTCTGGCCAGCGTGCTCCGCAGGTTTCCCTCCTGGGCGCCAACTGGTGCCCGGGGCAAAATGCGCAGCAGGCGCACGGGGGGCTGCGTCCTGTCCTGGGCTGGAGGGCTGTGGACGCCAACCAGCACGGGTAAACTCACCTGAAGCGGGATACGAATAGCGAGAAAGAGTTTCTTCCCCTTAGCAGTTTGCCTGCAGAGGCGCGCCCTCCCTTCCCAGGCCCCCCTGAAGGCTGCTTTTCCTTCTCCTTCCTGCTGCCTCGCGTTTCCTTGCAGACCCCGGGACTCGGGGACACAGCAGTCGCCGGCGCAGCCCACAAAGCTTCAGGCTCGAGTCTGCAGAGTGCAGAGCCGACCCGACTAGCGGCGCGGTCCGGCCCTGAGGCAGCCGCGGGGCCCAGGAGGCTCGGACCCAGCGGAGTCACCGGGGTTCAGGTCCGGTCAGGAGGGGCGCTGACGCCAGAGACCGCTGCGTCTCGCCGCGGGACTGGAGATGCAGACCCGGGACGGACGGAGCAGCCTGAGTCCCACCCGCGCCCCGGATCTCACTGCGCGGGAGCAGAGGGGGCGCCAGGCCCCCGGTCCCCTTCAAACTCCACCCCACTGCACGGGACCCCACTGCACCCCACTCCCCCCCCCCCCCCCCCCCGCCCCAAGCTGCACCCCCCAACAGCACCGCCCCCTACTCACTGCAGCCCCGCCCCGCCCCTCCTCTCCTACCCCTCCCCAATTCTCCCCGCCCACTCCCCCCGCCCCTCTCGGCGCCACGCCCCTGGTACGACCCTCCCAGGCACGCCTTCCTCTCCCTGCGCCACGCCCACCGACTCGCCCCGCCCACTCCCGGATCCCGCCGGGCACCCCCCCCAGGTAGCCCCGCCCCGCCCCCAGCCTGCGGCACCGCCCGCAGGGCCCGAGTCCCGCGCAGGCGCCATCGCCTTCGAGCCCCGCCCTCGCCGCGGCTTGGCCTCCGCCGGCCGCAGGTGTCGCGCTGTCCTGGCCGCCGCGTCGCCGCCGCAGGCTCCGTCCGTGCGGCGCTGCGGCAGCTGCCCCGGCACCGCTGTCCCCGCGCGACCTGCGCCCGTGAGTACCGGTCCCCTGCGGCTGCCCCAACTTTCGGGTGACGCTGGTGTCCGCGCGGCCGCGCCCGGTCGGTGCCCCGCCAGCGGCGAGCGGCTCCCCCGGCCGGCGGGCCGTGTCGCGTGTCGCGGTCCTGCGTGCGTCCCGCCCACCCCCGAGTCCGGCCGCGGCCGCGGTGCAGACCGACCCTGCCCACGACGGGCCGCAAGGTCACGCGGGCGGAGCCGGGCGCGGGTCGCATCCTGGTCCCCCGCGGCGCCCGGCTTCGCTCTCGAGAGTCCCCAGGTGCCTGCAGGGGGGGACAGCCGTGCTGAGGCCGAGGTGACATCCCGGGGGCGGGGCCGTTTTCCTGGGTCCGCCCGACCCCCGCCGTCCGCTCTTGTGCGGTCCGGCCCCCGTCACCCGAAACGTGCCGGGGCCCGCGGGAGCCCCCGGCCCCCCGCAGCCTTCTCCCCTGGGCGCGACCGTCCTGCAACTCGGTGAGGAGGTTCGGAGGTTCGGGCTGACTGACGTCTCCCAGCCTCGACTTGCTCCTCTGTCAAGCGGAATAACCCGGTTTGCAGGCTTCTCAAGGCACTTGGGGTTCAGAGGCCGGGGGCAGGTACGAAAACGCGTTGGGGCACCTTGAAAAGTAGAAGGCAGAGAGCCCCAGGGATCTGGCGCCCGGTGGGAATGGGGTGATTCGAAGGCAGGATTCTAAAATCCTCTTTCTGGACAACTTAGTTTTGCTAGGGCTGTGTGCTACTGCACCAGCCTCTTCCTGCCCTGTTCCTGGTCTGTCTGGCCTGGCACCAGCAGCTCACTTGCCCGTCCCATCTGGGAGACGTCTTGGGGCCAGGAGCTGTGTAGTCCGGGGCGGGGGGGCTTGCATGAGCGTGTGTCTCTGCCAGGCAGGGCCTCTCCCTAACCCGGAGGGGAGCTGCCTGGCTCCAGGGTTTGTTCACTTTCTGAGAATGCAGTGCTGGCCACAGCCAGTGATTTAAACTAGCAGTGGCCTGGGCTGTGTCTTGTCGCCTCCTCTGCTCCAGCGGCTTGGAAGATTCCTTCTCCCGGCTGGCTTTAGAGCGGTTGATTCCTAACAGGGAGCCAGGCTGGTTTTGCCTCCCGGTTATCATTGTGTTTGTGCATTCTCTCACCTCAGAGGCACAGTAGCAAGGTGACCCATCAAACCTTGGCCAATTTTAACATTGCACTGAAGGGTAATTACAGAAAATGCCACACTGTTCTGAAGTGTGGAGCCTGACAGCCCAGCGAAAGCAGGGCCCAGGTTAGGAACCATGATGTCCCACCTCCTTGCAGTCTGTGCCCTAGCCCCGAGGGTGACTGTTATCTCGCTTGGGTTTGCTAGGCAAATGTTTTGTTTTTATTAGGGTTATTTTATCACTTTAGTTCTCAAGCTAAAATGGGATTTCTTGATGATTTTCTACCTTCTTTTTATGAATGCAAGTCAAAGTAGTTATACCTGTGCCAGTACAGAAAACTAAAAGGGAGAATTTGGTCTGAGATCTTAGTGGAGAATGGATTGGTTGTCCCACTAAGCACTGAGCATGAGTTCTTTGATGGTGCAGCAGCCAGGCCCACACACAACTGCACAGACTTTGATAAATGGAGACCAGTTTATTCCCCAAGAGCTTTTCATGGAGTAACTTTGAACCATGCAAATCTGAAATGCTGTGTGATATGAATGAAGAAAGTATGAATGAATTCTCATTTGAAATTTGCATTCTCATTCCACAAAATGGAAATATTTTAATTTTTCAAAGTTAACAGTTGGTGAGGAATCGCAGGATCTCAAAGCTGAGTGATTTATGACTTTTGTGGTTGCCATATGGCAGCACCTGATTGGCTGGAGAATTGAAATACCCACCGTCCTGTCCCAGCCCTCAGAAAAGAACCCCGGGAATAGCACCCAAAGGCTCAGTCCCTCCAGGGGTGCTTTCCAAGGCCCCTCAGCCCCTCCCACTCCGTCTTAGGCTGGAACTGTCTCCACCTCTTAGGGAGATGGCGGGGAGCTGTGTGTGGGGTGGCGCGATTCACAGGTGGCGTCCTGAGGAGCCGGCTTAGGAGCGTCACGGTCTCACTCAGATTTCCCCCGGTTTAAGGAAGCGCATTCTCTTCCTGCAGCAGGGAGCCCCTCTCAGTGCTGTCCGTGGTGATTATAAGGAGTGGCCTTGTCTGGAGTCCTGCTGTCACTGAAGGGAATGCCAGAGCATCCCACAGGGCGGGTCCAGGTCATGGCGTGGAGGAGCACGAGGGGTGTTGTGCCCAGGAGTGGGGGGGCTCTGTGGGCCTGGCCGCCTTCCCCTCCATCGCCATTTCCTTGTGGTGGCATCTCTGTTTATGAACTTAATTTGGTTTACGATTTCAGGGAAGATGTCTATGTTCGAGTTTGTGTGAGGAGGGTGGCTGTGGCTGTGTTTGTCACCCGATGTGGAGTTGCAAACACTTTTGTTTGTGAACTGAACGTTTGCAAACAGAAGCGTTTGTGAGCCGAGGCATTGCTGTGTGCCAGCCAGCCTGACTGAGATGCTGGGTGGGAGACGGTGTTCTCTGGAGGCTGGTGTGTGTTGGGTGTTGGGTGATTTTCTCTTCACAGTAGGAGGCAGGCAGCGTTCCCATTTGGTGGATGAAGGATCTGAGCCCTGGAGGTCAAGCATTTTCTAAACTGAGACGCGGAGAGCTGGAGTGAGGATCGAGAGCTGAGTCACGTGGGCTGCCCTGGCTCCATGTGCTCTTCTACAGGGGGAACAGGCTTGCAGAGCTCATTTGTCCGCCCTGGGACTAGAACTGCACTAACCACATACTCACCACTCGAGTCTAAGAGTGGGATTGCTGGGAATGGAAAGTGCTCTCCTGAGCAAGCGGGAAGTCCCGACAGTGATGCGTGTGAATGTGGAGTTGAGTCCACACAGCCTCGCTGAGCTCAGAATCACGTCCATGTGGCCTTGTTGAGCTCAGGGTGCAGTCCACGCAGCCTGCAGCATCGGAACCCAGTGTGTTCTCATTTCTGGATGCAGTCTTCTTTGGAGTTGAAACTTCATGTAATGGTGGTCCATCTTACCTATTTTTTGACTTTTTACACCCAACATTTCTTTTACACATGTTGATAACATTTGTTGGTTATCATAGGTCTAGTGGATCTTTCTTTTTTTTGGTACCGGGGCTCGAACTCGGGTCCTCGCACTTGCGCAGCAGGCGTCGAGTGGATCATTTTAACATCATGTCCTTTGTCTGATATTCGAAGGTTTAAACATTTCCCACCGGTAGACACTCTCCTACGTCCACTGTCATAAAAGTGTTGTGGTGATTTTCCTCGATAGGATCTTGCGGATGTGTCTGAGTGTGTCTAGTGTCTTCGTCTTCAGAAGTTGAGTGCCGAGGGTGGGGCGCGTACACCGGCGTCCATCTGTGAGCTCGGAGTGGCCGGGTTTGCGATTTCTGTCCCAGGCAGCCGTGTCTCTGCATCTCATCGGACACTGTTGGGTCCCTTGCAACCCACACCTGTAGTGGTGGCCGGGTCACGTTTGGTCATTCAGATGAGCGTGGAATGAGTTACTTCACTGTCCCTTCTCACTTTGCGCTTCCCTTAGAGCTTGTCTTTTTAAGTATATTTTAGTTTTCAATATTTTTTTCTATGTGCTACCTTTTTTTACTGGGAAAGTTTAGTTTTTCATAGTTAGATCTGATCTGACATTTATATTTCTGTATGGTATAAGGCAAGGGTGTAATTGTTTTTCATATTGAAAACAATTTATCCTATTATTTAATTAATAATTTACTATCTTCTCATTTATTGTGCTGCCATTTCTGTCATATTCCAATTTCTGTTGTATTTTTTGATCTTTTTCTTGACTCTCTGTTCTGTTCTTTTCATCTTTTGGATTCATTGGCTAATACTATTTCCTTTATTAGAGCTTTGTAATATCTCCCCTTTTATCAATTTTCTGCGAAATTGTCTTGGCTATTGCTATTCTTGACCTTTTAGAAATCAACATGAATTGTAGGATCTCTCCCGTCTCTTGAAAAGTCCTGCTGTAATTTACACTGAATCTATAGGTTAATTGGAGCAGGCTTCACCTCTTCCTATTGATGTGTCTCACTCCTGGACATTACCAATCTCTGTAGTGGTCCTTTTCAGGTCATTCTATAAAGCTTGATGGTGTTCTCCATAAAAGTCTGCAACTTGTAAAGTGTCTGAGGCACTTTACAGGTTGTTTGTCTCATTTTCAAACTAATAGCTCTATTGAGGTATATTCACACACTGCAGTCCAGCCTGTTAGAGTGTACAAGTCAGTATTTTTAGTAAACCCATTGGGTGTTCAGCAGTCCACAACCACACCTTCTTTCTGGATATTTGTGTCTCCTGCAGCACAGACCCTGAGCCACTAGTGGCCACCGCCCACCCCCCACCAGCCCAGCCCAGGCGGGCCCCAGTGGACTTCCCGCCTCCATGCACTTGTCCTGCTGGACGCTTCGGCGAGGTGGCGCTCCTGGCAGTGTGGACCACGGTGTTTTGTGTCCGGTTTCTTTCGCTTGGCGTCATGGTTCCAAGGTTGCTGTGTGGTGTGGGACGACGCTTATTCCTCTCGCTGGTATATTCTACTCCGTGGATATAACACTTCATCTGTCCTTTCATTGGGTGCTCACAGCTTTTATTGCCATTGTAAATGGGATCTTTTTTCTCCGATTGCATTTTTAAAGTTGTCATTGCCAGTGTGGTTATGTGATTTTTTTGTATATTAATTTTCTATCTAGCATCTTGGCTGGTTTGTAGACGCGCGCTCCATATTGTAAGAAGCCATATGTACCACAGATAGCGGTGATATTGTTTCTTCTGCCTTGCAGTTGCGTCTTTTCTTGTGATGGTGGTGATCAGCACCTCCGTGCATGGTTTTGGGATAATGCTTTCAAACGCTTCTCAAGGAAGAGCACGCGCATTGCACATTAAGAAATTTTATATTTCTGCTATTCTCATGGTGGTGTTTGTTTTTAAAATTATGCTT